CCAGAAAAAGCATACCCTTAACTATACTCACATCTCAAGTATCTCATATTGTCAAAAGCCAGATGCCAGAACTTTCTACTTTCTATGAAACACAATCATCATTTAAACTACAATTAGAGAAATAAACAGTTATGTACCAGTAATACCATAACTAATAGGGCTATTCGTCAGTACCGAACTGATGGGTTTTCATCTTTTTCAAAAAAATTACAGGTTATGACATAACTTGAAATCAAACTGTTAAACAGAAATGTTTTATTTAAATCCACATTTGAAAACATCTCCAGTTACTGTCTAAGTCATCCATGATCAAAACAGAAGTAAAAAAGAAACTATGATGGTAAATTAAAATTAAAACCCATAAAGTAATCACATAAAACAAAATTAAAAATAAAATCCATAATTAAATCCCTTTATAAGTATAATATTGAAAAGTTTCTTTTAATGTTACAGCAAACTATCTTTTCTACCCTTCTAATTTTTTCCTTAAAAAAGAAAACCAGAACTAGGAGTTTCTAAGCTCTGAGGGGGTTAATTCACTTGTCTAATGATTAGAGTTCTGATAGTATATTTTACCAAAATCTAAATCAGTAAGTGCCTAGTTCAGTTCAGTGGCTCAGTTGTGTCCGACTCTTTGTGACCCCATGAATTGCATCATGCCAGGCCTCCCTGTCCATCACAAACTCCTGGAGTTTACTCAAACTCATGTCCATCAAGTCGGTGATGCCATCCAACCATATCATCCTCTGTCATCCCCTTCTCCTCCTGCCCCCAATCCCTCCAAGCATCAGGGTCTTTTCCAATGAGTCAACTCTTCCCATGAGGTGGCCAAAGTATTGGAGTTTCAGCTTCAGCATCAGTCCTTCCAATGAACACCCCGGACTGATCTCCTTTAGGATGGACTGGTTGGATCTCCTTGCAGTTCAAGGGACTCTCAAGCGTCTTCTCCAACACCATAGTTCAAAAGCATCAATTTTTCAGCTCAGTTTTCTTCACAGTCCAACTCTCACATCCATACATGACCACTGGAAAAACCATAGCCTTGACCAGACGGACCTTTGTTGGCAAAGTAATGTCTCTGCTTTTTAATATGCTATCTAGGTTAGCCATAACTTTCCTTCCAAGGAGTAAGTGTCTTTTAATTTCATGGCTGCAGTCACCATCTGCAGTGATCTTGGAGCCCCCCAAAAATAAAGTCAGCCTCTGTTTCCACTGTTTCCCCATCTATTTCCCATGAAGTGATGGGACCAGATGCCATGACCTTAGTTTTCTGAATGTTGAGCTTTAAGCCAACTTTTTCATTCACCTTTTTCACTTTCATCAAGAGGCTTTTTAGTTCCTCTTCACTTTCTGCCATAAGGGTGGTGTCATCTGCATATCTGAGGTTATTGACATTTCTCCCGGCAATCTTGATTCCAGCTTGTGCTTCTTCCAGCCCAGCATTTCTCATGATGTACTCTGCATATAAGTTAAATAAGCAGGGGGACAATATACAGCCTTGACGTACTCCTTTTCCTATTTGGAACCAGTTTGTTGTTCCATATCCAGTTCTAACTGTTGCTTCCTGACCTTCATACAGGTTTCTCAAGAGGCAGGTCAGGTGATCTGTTATTCCCACCTCTTTCAGAATTTTCCACAGTTTATTGTGATCCACACAGTCGAAGGCTTTGGCGTAGTCAATAAAGCAGTAAAATAGATGTTTTTCTGGAACTCTCTTGCTTTTTTGATGATCCAGCAGATGTTGGCAATTTGATCTCTGGTTCCTCTGCCTTTTCTAAAACCAGCTTGAACATCTGCAGGTTCTCGGTTCACGTATTGCTGAAGCCTGGCTTGGAGAATTTTGAGCATTACTTTACTAGCGTGTGAGATGAGTGCAATTGTGCAGTAGTTTGAGCATTCTTTGGCATTGCCTTTCTTAGGGATTGGAATGAAAACTGACCTTTTCCAGTCCTGTGGCCACTGCTGAGTTTTCCAAATTTGCTGGCATATTGAGTGCAGCACTTTCACAGCATCATCTTTCAGGATTTGAAATAGCTCAACTGGAATTCCATCACCTTGACTAGCTTTGTTCGTAGTGATGCTTCCTAAGGCCCACTTGACTTCACATTCCAGGATGTCTGGCTCTAGGTGAGTGATCACACCATTGTGATTATCTGGCTTGTGAAGATCTTTTTTGTACAGTTCTTCTGTGTATTCTTGCCACCTCTTCTTAATATCTTCTGCTTCTGTTAGGTCCATACCATATCTGTCCTTTATTGAACACATCTTTGCGTGAAATGTTCCCTTGGTATCTCTAATTTTCTTGAAAAGATCTCTAGTCTTTCCCATTCTGTTCTTTTCCTCTATTTCTTTGCATTAATTGCTGAAGAAGGCTTTCTTATCTCTCCTGGCTATTCTTTGGAACTCTGCATTCAAATGAGAATATCTTTCCCTTTCTCCTTTGCCTTTTGCTTCTCTTCTTTTCACAGCTATTTGTAAGGCCTCCTCAGACAACCATTTTGCCTTTTTGCATTTCTTTTCCATGGGGATGGTCTTGATCGCTGTCTCCTGTACAATGTCACGAGCCTCTGTCCACAGTTCATCAGGCTCTCTATCAGATCTAGCCCCTTAAATCTATTTCTCACTTCCACTGTATAATCATAAGGGATTTGATTTAAGTCATACCTCAATTGTCTAGTGGTTTTCCTTACTTTATTCAGTTTAAGTCTGAATTTTGCAATAAGGAGTTCATGATCTGAGCCACAGTCAGCTCCTGGTCTTGTTTTTGCTGACTGTATAGAGCTTCTCCATCTTTGGCTGCAAAGAATATAATCAATCTGATTTCGGTGTTGACCATCTGGTGATGTCCATGTGTAGAGTCTTCTCTTGTGTTGTTGGAAGAGAGTGTTTGCTATGACCAGTGTGTTCTCTTGGCAAAACTCTATTAGCCTTTGCCCTGCTTCATTCCATACCCCAAGGCCAAATTTGCCTGTTACTCCAGGTGTTTCTTGACTTCCTACTTTTGCATTCCAGTCCCCTATAATGAAAAGGACATCTTTTTTGTGTGTTAGTTCTAAAAGGTCTTGTAGGTCTTCATAGAACCATTCAACTTCAGCTTCTTCAGTGTTACTGGTTGGGATATAGGCTTGGATTACTGTGATATTGAATGGTTTGCCTTTGAAACGACCAGAGATGATTCTGTCATTTTTGAGATTGCATCCAAGTAATGCATCTCAAACTCTTTTGTTGACCATGATGGCTACTCCATTTCTTCTAAGGGACTCCTGCCCACAGTAGTAGATATAATGGTCATCTGAGTTAAATTCACCCATTCCAGTCCATTTTAGTTCACTGATTCCTAGAATGTCGACATTCACTCTTGCCATCTCCTGTTTGACCACTTCCAATTTGCCTTGATTCATGGACCTAACATTCCAGGTTCCTATGCAATATTGCTCTTTACAGCATCGGACCTTGCTTCTATCACCAGTCACATCCACAACTGGATGTAAGGTAATCAAATTCATTCTTCAGCTGACACAGCAAATTCTTATGCCATGAAATCTTTCAAAGTATGTAATTTAGAGAAAATACAAAATACATAGGGGAAGGCATTTGTAGTCCAAATACTCAGAATCAGGAACTCAACTGCATATCTGTAAATTGTTCTTTTAAAGTTAAATAGAAACATTAACACTTTCAACAAAGTTTTTATCATCTTTAAAACGTACAGGTGGTGCTAGTGGTAAAGAATCTGCCTGCCAGTGCAGGAGACTCAGGTTCAATCCCTGGGTCAGGAAGATCCCCTGGAGTAGGAAATGGCAGCCTGCTCCAGTACTCTTGCCTGGAAAATTTCATGGTCAGAGAAGCTGGCAGGCTACAGTCCTGCCACAAAGAGTCAGACATGATTGAGCAACTGAGCACATAATACATAATGGTGTAATACGAACACAGAAATTTCTCTATCAGTATAACTAAAATGAGACTAGCAGCCTTTTAATAAATAGCTGATAATAGTGTAAAATATGACAAATTTAGTCATTCTCAGCAGAAGTACTTGACTGGGTAAGAATAAGTTTAGCTCTATTTGTGGCAAACAGGAATTCTATTTTGAGGGGGTTTTGATATGGTTAATATAAACAAACACAAAGCTTTATATTAAAACCATTTTAGAATATATATAATATGATTTTAAACTGGTGATACCTACTATGTAATTTTGAAAATTTACCATACTGGACATTAATACATATTTTCATGTATAAACCATCCCCACTAAAGAGTTGATGTCACTTTAATCATTTGTAAAGGCAAATAAAACTAGCTTGCAGTTAATGACTATTCAAAACTGATAATATCCTAAAAATCAATGTTTGTATTAAGTATTATAATTTTATTAAGGGAAAGTCATTTGTGAGTTCTTCCTTTTTTTAAAACAGCTATTACATTTTTGTTCAACCCATTAAAACCAAATTCTTTCCTTTAAATACTTAACCTCAAAATGTCATCTTCTAAATACAACAGTGTCAAAAAATTAGAAAATTTCAGGGCTAGAAGAATCTTCGGAGTATACCCAATGTAGGGGATCCTGAACTTTAGTTTGCGTTAGAAGTCCCTGCAGTTCTTGTTAAAGGGCAAATGGCTGGGCACATCTGCACCCACCTGGCTCAGTAGGCCTGGGTTGGGGCCTGAAATAACCAGTGTAACCCCACCCCACTCAAAGGTGCCTCCTGTAGGAGGCGTCCATAGAGCACTAGGAGGAACAGCACCCACCCTTCACCCAACATCGTGAATCCTTGTACTGCATGCACATCCTTCTGAGGCCATCTCTGCCTCAAATTACTTCCTCCCCACCTCCTCCATGGAACTCTCTGCCTCCTGGGGGCAGCTCGTTACATATCTAATGGAAGCTTCTAAGAGAAAATTATACATTCAAAACACAAAGTCATTCAATGTGGCCTTATTACACAAATATATGAATGAAAAGACACAGTGAAGAGTTAAATGTATAAAGAACTGACCTGCTTCTTCTGGTATTTGTTTATCAGATTCAAAAACAAGGCATAACATCTGGAATAGCTGGCCAAGGCTACACAGCAGTCATGGTAAGAGGTAAGTTTGCTGTAGAAATGTCAAATGGGAAAAATAAAAGTCAGCTTTGTTTTTCAATAAAACTCAAATATACCTAAGGTTGCTTTAAATGCAGACCTTCAAAGCATTGTCCTGTGCATGAAAAGCAGTCTGGAGATACTCTATACACTGGCCCAGAGATGTCTCAGGGAGCTGGTTACCTGCTCTAGATTCCAGGAGCATAGGGTGGGAGCAAGGAAAATTTCAAGTTCTTTGAAAAAGAGAAAGCTGAAACCTCTAAGGCAGGTGGTGATGGTTTAGTCACTGAGTCGCGTCCAACTCTTGCGACCCCGTGGACTGAATCCTGCCAGGCTCCTCTGTCCATGGGACTCTCCAGGCAAGAACACTGGAGTGGGTTGCCATGCCCTCCTCCAGGGATCTTCCCGACCCAAGAATTGAATCCAGGTCTCCTAAATTGCAGGCAGCTTCTTTAACAACCAAGCTTGTGGTTCAGAAAACACAAGATAAGAAATTTACACAGTATCTGGTAAATTTCAATCTGGTAGAGTCAATCTCCTGGAACTCCAGCACAAACAAATGTTAAACTGCTCAAATATGCTAGGATATTAGTGGTATATTAATATCAGGCAAAATAGACCTTAAGGCAAAAAACCTTGAAAATAGCTTCAAATTTTCAAAAGTAAGCAAACAAACTTACATAACCCACAAGGTGGAACTCACAAACCTATATCAAATTAACAGATGTTCATAAGCCTCTCATTAAGTGACAGATTAATAGAAAAAACATCATTAATATTTTAAAAACTTGATCATGTGCCAGGCCATTAACAATCTCAGTAAATTACCAATGTTTTAGATCACATTTTAAAGACATACTTTTGGAAATTTAAAAACACATAACTTATGGGTCAAAGAAATAAGAAAATAAAAAACCACATATCTGAATAATAACAAAAAATACTACAGATCAAAATTTAGATGCAGCTGCAGCAGTAGAGGAAAATTCATAACCTTAAGAAAGCTGAAAGGAAAGGGATTTCTAACCAACATGGAAAGAAATATGTGCTGTGTTTAGTCACTCAGTTGTGTCCGACTCTTTGTGACCCCATGTACTGTAGGCCGCCAGGCTCTTCTGTCCATGGGGATTCTCCAGGCCAGAATACTGGAGTGGGTTGCCATGCCCTCCTCCAGGGGATCTTCTTAACCCAGGGATCAAACCCAGGTCTCCCCCACTGCAGGCAGATTCTTTACCATCTAAGCCACCAGGGAAGCCCAGAAGAAAACATAATATATCCAAAAAGAATAGAAGAATTACTAAGGCTAAGAATGAGGAATACAATAGGAAAGAAACTTACAATAGAGTGGTTTGATAGATCTATTGGTTCTTTGCAAAAACTAATAAATTGGCCAACCTTTGGCAAGACTGATCAAGAGAAAAAAGAGAAATATCATAAATCTTCAAAATAAGGAATGAAAATCAACATCAAAATGAAGAGGCAGTGTGACGTAGCAGTTAACCATGTAAATTCTAGAGCCAGACTATCTAGTTTAAATCACAGCTGTGCAACTCTGGGAAAACTACCAAATTTCTCTATGCCTAGCCTCCTCATTGGTAAAATGAGGATAATAATAATAAGTACCTACCTCTTAAAGCCATTACAAGGAATAAATGAACTAGTATTTAGAAAGTGCTTAGAAAACTTCCTGGCACATAGTAGGCACTGCATAAATATTTCTTAAGTAAGTAATATAAATGAAAGGGGTATAATTAGAGAGGCAACAGAGATTAAAAGAATAACAGACGAGATCAGGCACATTCAGTGTGGTATGGCCATAGACGAGCCACATGTAAAAAAAATGAAATTAGATCATTCCTTAACTCCTTACACAAAAATAATGGATTAAAGATTTAAATTTCAGACCAGACACTATAAAACTTAGAGGAAAACATAGGCAGAACACTCTCTGACAAAAATCACAGCATCTTTTTTAATCCAGCTCCCAGAATAATGGAAATAAAAGCAAAAATAAACAAGTGGAACCTACTTAAATTCCAAAGCTTTTGCATAGTAAAGGAAACAATAAACAAAAAGAAAACCCACAGATTGGGAGGAAATATTTGCCAATGATGTGACTGATAACGGATTAGTCTCCAAAATTTACAGTTTATGACACTTAATATCATCAAAACAAACAGCCCACTCAAAAAATGTGCAGAAGATCTGAATAGACATTTCTCTAAAGAGGACATACAGATGGCAAACAGGCACATGAAAAGATGTTCAAAATTGCTAATTATCAGAGAAATGCAAATCAAAACTACAATGAGATATCACCTCACACTGGTCAGATTGGTTATCATAAAAAAATCTACAAATAACAAATGTTGGAGAGGGTGCGGACAGAAGAGAACCCTTCTGCACTACTGGCAGGAATGTAAATCGGTGCATTGACTATGGAGAGCAATATGGAGGTTCCTTAAGAAACTAAACATAGAGCCACTATATGATCCTGCAATCCCACTCCTGGGCATATATCCAGAGAAAAACATGGCTCGAAAAGATACAAGTACCCCAGGGTTCCATGCAGCACATTGTTTACAAGACATGGGAACAACCTAAATGTCCATTGACAAAGGAATGGATAAAGAAGGTGTGGTGGGCAAGTGCGTACACGCATACACACACACACACACACACACACACACACTGGAATATTACTCAGCCATTAAAAAGACTGAAGTAAGGCCACTGGCAGCAACATGGAGGGCTCCCTGGTGGCTCAGTGGTAAAGAATCTGCCTGCAATGCAGGAGACCGGGGTTCAATCCCTGGGCTGGGAAGATCCCCTGGAGAAGGGCGTGGCAACCCGCTCCAGTGTTCTTGCCTAGAGAACCCCATGGACAGAGGAGCCTGACACGTTGCAGTCCATAGGGTCGCAGAGTCAGAGACGACTGAAGTGACCAAGCAGCAACAGCATGTGTTGACTCTGAAAAGAAAGAATACTAATGAACTTACAAGACAGAAAGAGACTCACAGACTTGGAAAACTCACGGATGCTGGGCCGGGGGTAGAAGGGAGAGTTAAGGACTTTGGGCAAGTCATGTATACACTGCTATATTTAAACCAACAAAAACCTATTACATAGCACATGGAATTCAATGTTAAGTAGCAGCCTGGATGAGAGAGGGGTTTGAGGGAGAATGGATACATGTATGTGTATGGCCGAGACTCTTCCCTGTCCACCTGAAACTCTTACAACATTGTTAATCAGCTAAATCCCAGTACAAAATGTTTTTGGTGCTAAAAAATAAAAATAAAAGGATAACAGAATATATGGAATGCCCTTATATAGTTTGAAACTTAAATGAATGAATTCTTATAAAAATATAACTTTTAGAAACTGAACCAAATGTAAATAGGATATGACTCGACCATTAAAGGAAGTGAATCAGTTGTCAGTGATATTCACACATGCATGCACACACACGCGTATACACACAACAGGATAAAACAGCTTTTCAAGCAAGTTCTACAGGCTTTTCAAGAGGCAGATAAGTTTAATTTTCAGAAATTCTTCTAAAATAGAGAAAATATAGGAATATATCCCAGTTAATTTTATGAGGCTGGTATAAACTGGACATTAAAACCAGACAAGGACAGTATAAGAAAGGAAATGTATAGGTCAATCTAACTCGTAACCATAAATGAAAAATCCTAAACAAAATATAAGCTGAGCAAACCTAGCAATATATAATGGTTTAACATGAGAAAACCTGTTATTGTAATCTACTATGTTAAAGAATTAAACAAAGAAAATCCATATAATCAAAATATATTCAAGAATTCAAGGAAATTTAAAATCCATTAAAGGGAGAAAATTGTTCCTTAATTGTTAAGGGGTATCTACAAAAACCTACAACAAACAATTTCAACTGGTAAAACTACAAAAACATTTCCCTTAAAGTCAGGAGAAAGTCAGCCAGCCTAATATTCTCACAACTTTATACCGGACATCCTAAGCAATGCACCCAAGGAACAGGTGAGGACAGGGGCAGAGCTGTAATAATGGGGGAAAAAAAGAACATATATACACACACACACACACATATATATATTCCTGGTAGCTCAGCTGCTAAAGAATCTGCCTGCAATGCAGGAGACCTGGGTTTGATTCCTGGGTCGGGAAGATCCACTGGAGAAGGGATGGGCTACCCACTCCAGTATTCTTGGGCTTCCCTTGTGGCTCAGCTGGTAAAGAATCTGCCTGCAGTGTGGGAGACCTGGGTTGGATCCTGGGCTGGGAAGATCCCCCAGAGAAGGGAAAGGCTACCCACTCCAGTATTTTGGCCTGGAGAATTCCATGGACTGTATAGTCCATGGGGTTGCAAAGAGTCGGACAAAACTGAGTGACTTTCACTTTCAAGCAATGCATCCAAGAAATAGGTGAGGACAGGGACAGAGTTGTAATATTGGGGGGGGGGGAACTATACTTGTTTGCAAATAATTTGCATAGAAAATCCAAGAGAATCTATAGATTCTTAGACTTAATGTTAATCAAGATGTTCTGGATAACAAGATTAATAAACAAACATCAATACTGTTCACATACACTAGCAACACTCATTAGAACTGTTTTCTTAAAAGATGCATTTATAACTGCAGCTAGAGTCATGAAGGAATACATCTAACAAAAGATGTATTTTTTCTCCAAAAAGACAAAATTTTTTAAGAGAAAATTATAAAATTTTATGAAAAGAAGAAACATCACAACTGTTTATGGATGGACATCTTGATATCACAAAGATGTCAATTCTCCCCACTTCTGTCCAAGTTACCCTAAATACTGAGTATTGTTTCATGAAAAAAAATCCAAAGTTCCTTTCATGGACTTTTTAGCTGATTCTCCAGTTCATGAGGAAGAGAAAATAAAAATTTGGATTTTAAAGGAGAAAAGTGGAGGATTCATCTTATTAATATCTTATAGCAAGACTTAAACCCATAACAGTAAAAAAACAATGTGTTACTAGTCTGAGGATGGGTCAGACAGAATGTTCAGAAACAGGCCTGCAAGTATATGGAAGCTTGCATTCTCTTGAGTAGGCATTCAAAAGCAATGAGAAAAGGATGGCATATTCAGTAACATGTGGTGGGGAAACTGTCTCTCCACGGGGAAGAAAAACCAAATTGGATCTTTACATGCTGCCATACACAGAAATCTTTATGATTTTATGTGCTTCAAAATGGGACTAATTAAGTACCCACAATTAAGGACCCAGATAGGAAAGTACAGTGCTAAAAGATCAAAGCTGGACTCACACCCTCATGTGGGATCAATTACCAAATCAGTCTTCAGGAAATTTTGTATTTTGTTAAACAGCTACCATACTACAGTTCAAGAAAGGCCCGGGTCTCTGGAGAAGGATCATTATGTCAAAACACTGGTAAAGAGCAGTGAAAGGAGAAATGTAAGTACATAATTCAAAGACAGTTCTGAAATTTAGTCACATCTTGTTTTGAGGCAGCCTAGATTCAGGTTATCATTGCTTCTGCAGCAAAGTAAGTATAAACATGACTACTGAATGTGTGAGCCAAAGTTCAGCCAAACAACCGAAAAAAAAAATAACCTGTGATTATAAATAAAGTCAGGTCAGACTTTCCTCTTTTCTGTTAGAATCCTTAAGCACTGTTTCCAAGTGCACCAGTAGGTTTGCTGGGTTTTGTGATACAGCTCTTTATCTCCAATAAGCTGAGAGTTTTCTTTCTTTTATAAAAACACTAGGACAACTCACAACTTTAAAGTACCTTAAAGTCAATAAGTTTAGAAACACATTAGAAAAACATAAGAAATGAAGTCAATAAAACAAGTTTTAAGTCACTTATTTTAAACTTGGGCCACTAGATTTACCTTTTCTTCTAGGTGACATAAAGAGCAAAAACCAGATTCTTTGCCAGTCACACACACAAATACTAAAGATAACCCCCGAATCTAAACATTAGCATTATTGTAAGGCTACTTTGTATTCCTACTCTACCTTACCTGAATATTCTGGCAATGTTGGTACAGACATCCTTGTCACCTATGTACTGTTCCATTACTGTGCAGAGCTCGGGAAGGGCATTGATGCTTAGCAACTTACTTCTTGCTAGTGGTGAATCAACCAAGTTTCGCAGTGTAGCAGTCATCTAGGGAAAAAAGCATGTTAGTGGCATTTTTTTTTTTTAAGAAAACACTAATACAGCAATACTAATCAGTGCAGGAGAACCCACACCGTAAGTTTTGTTACATCGATAGCTAAACCAAGGCCCGTTATGCATCACGCATTAAAGAATCTGAGCCTATGCACAAGCAGCAAAAAATGAATACAAAGAAAGCCTACTTTGGTTAAAAAGTAATGAATGAAATATTCCTGTTAAGAAGTAATTAATATACCAAAACCTGAGGGTTAAGCAGATTACTGTCTGGCTTTAGTAGAAGGTAATAAGGTAATTAATTGACCCTGTGACATGCCACATGAGCTCCACAGATCAGAAACTTCTTGTTCCATAGTCTTATAAATACCATCAAATAATAATGCTGCAGCCAAAGGATATTCAAGAATGTTAGTCTCTTTCTCTTCCTAGAGGCAAGAACTAACCTCTTGCAAATTTGTCTTGTTTTATAAAAAACAAAGCGTTCAGAAAAACTGTGTACTTAACCCTTGTCTGAAAGTGGAGAAGAGAACAATTTAAAAAATCTATAAAATGAAAGCTGCTGTTATCTGATAATTTTACATCTATGCAAGGTGTTCTTTCCTCCTGAGATGGTACAGGCAGGCCACGGGTTCAGGGAGTCAGCTTGGGAGTTGGATGGCCTGGTCAAATTCCAGCCCCACCCTTCTTCAGTTTAGACTTAGGTAGTTAACCTCCCAGAGCACATTTTCCTCATCAATAAAGTGGGGATGGTGACAGTTGTCCTGGCATTGTTAGGATTCAATGAGATGAGATGTGTGGCTGGCATTGCCAGTGCCGATTAATTAACAGGAGTTCAAAAATCACAGGTTCCATCCTCGCCTTTGTTATGGGTCTTCACATCCAAAACGCAGAAGGAGGGAGATTACTAGCCTTGGACTCAAATGATGAACGGTCAAGTCCCAAATCTCTTCCTAAATATGTGACTGAGGCACTCAGTCATTCTTCAACTCCCCCATTCCTTGTCTGTGAAAAGGGGATTACAAACTCTGCTCACCAGCCAAGGTTGCGTGTAACAGGTGGAAAAAAAGGTAACACGGTTTTTGTACACTGTTGAGGATTACGTAAATGAAAAGCACGATTACAGCCATAACAAATAAACTTTAACAATTATAAAGATGACATGTATGTTTGATTAGTTTTCTTTTGTAACAAATCGCAACAACAAAAAATTTTTTAAAGATATAACCAACCATGTTCTCTCTAAAGCAGAAAACGTAAACATAATACTTCAAACAAATGTGTGCAAGTCTTTTGTAGTTGATTCAATTACACAGTGATTCAGTAAATTCTTCCCTGAAAGGTTCAGTATCCAAAACACTGCAGGGGAAACAAACTATTCTAGCATTCCACTTAATCTACCAATGTAGTCTCTTAAGCTAAGGAAGGTTAACAAGCCATTCAAGGCATTCCAAGCCATCGCTGCCATAAAATGGAAAATTCTCATCATCTGTCCCCGACTCTAACCTGTCCACCCTCTTCAGAGACAGCCCAGGCACTGGAGCACTGCTGGTTTATGTCAACCCAAAGGATGACTCGCAAGCTTCCCCACTCCTTCACGAAAGAGCACAGACGCTCGCGTGGGTCCTGGCCAGAACCAGACAGGCAGAGACTGCGGCAAGACCATGCAGCACTGATCCCACCCACTGTACACACAAACACCCCCTTCCCTGGACCCCGAGGCTTCACAGATCCAGTACCTCAATCCGAGCGAGAGTCATCTTCTCGCTCCCCACACTCAACCTCTGGCCGGGGATGCTGTCAGCAGGAGGGACCAGAGGTTTCTTAGGAGCTTTTATTTTCTTGTTTCAAATTCAGTTTGTTTTTTTCCCCCCTCTCCCTTTCAACCTTTTTCCTCAGATCATTAGGAAAAGTCAAGACAGTTCAAGGTTCTTTTGCCCCAAAGACATAACTTTTACAAATGGCCCAAATCAAGACGTGACATATCACCTGATTTTAAATCAGTATCTATTTACTGCCTGGATCACACTGTGTGGAGTGCAAGGAGTTGAGCACGATGTGATACCTGGAATGTTTCCATATTTCTTGGTTGTAATGCTGCTAGAATCACATACATGAAACATACACCATGCACTTGAAAAATACAGAGTAGTGATGTCTCAGTTCACGACACTTCCATCAACACAGCTGCTCAAGCTGCAAAACCCAGAGATATTCCAGAACCCTGCCTTTCTGCCCTCTGTCCCCCTAAGCCCCACTGGCTTCTTGTCCATTTCCTGACTTTTTTGTCTACAAGGCCTGGTGTGGCCTGGCTCTGGCCAAGCCCTCAAACTTCATCTCATACCACATACCCCCACAAGCTGCTTTATCTTAGGTTACTTTATGTCTTATTGTTTCTGTATTTCTCTGGACTAGAAGCTTCAGTAAGGTACACACTTCGGCTTTTCACCATTGTGCCCCCAGGTCCAACTCTAGCGCCTGGTACACAGTCAGTCAGTTCAGTTGCTCCATTGTGTCCAACTCTTGGTGACGCCATCAACTGCAACACATCAGGCTTCCCTGTCCATCACCAACTCCTGGAGTTTGCTCACACTCATGTCCATTGAGTCAGTGATGCCATCCAGCCATCTCATCCTCTGTCATCCCCTTCTCCTCCTGCCTTCAATCTTTCCCAGCATCGGGGTCTTTTCCAATGAATCGGTTCTTTGCATCAGGTGGCCAAAGTATTGGCCAAAGTATTCAGCTTCAGCATCAATCCTTCCAATGAATATTCAGGACTGATTTCCTTTAGGATTGACTGGTTTGATTTCCTTGCAGTCCAAGCAACTCTCAGAGTACACAGTAGGTCCTCAATAAACATTTGTTGATGGAATGGATTACTGGATTAATATCTATAAATGAACCACTGGTATACATAGAAAGGTTGGGATTCAGAAAACCATGGATGAATCAGACAATATCTCTGAGGTAGGTGGATTGTAAGATGATTAATGAGTTTCAAAGAATTGATGCTTTCAAATTGTGGTGCTGATGAAGACTCTTGAGAGTCCCTTGGACTGCAAGATCATCAAACCAATCAATTCTAAAGGAAATCAGTGCTGAATATTCATTGGAAGGACCACTGTTGAAGCTGAAGTTCCAATACTTTGGCCACATGATGCAAAGAGATGACTCATTAGAAAAGGCCCTGATGTTGGGAAAGATTGAGGGCAGGTGGAGAAGCGAGAGACAGAGGATGAGATGGCTGGGTGGTATCATCAACTCAATGGACATGAATTTGAGCAAACTTCAGGAGATAGTGAAGAACGGGGAAGCCTGGTGTGCTGCAGTCCATGGGGTCACAGAGTTGAACATGACTTAGTGACTCAACAAAAAAGGAGCAGAGGAATAAAAAAATAACCGATGAAAGAAAAACAGACTTCCTGGAGGGGCCCTAGTGTATTCCCTGTTCATTTCATCTATGACAGCAGCTCCTTCCTGGGCTCTTAACCTCTCCTTCCCGCTTCCCTTCCAACACCTGACTGGTCACATTTCCATCTCTTCTTCCCACTTCCAGGGTTGCTGGTTCCATGTAAGACTACTTCATCTCCTTCCCAAAGTCTATATCCCCTGAATGGGCTCCTTCCTCTCTCTCCCCTGGAGAGCTCACCTCCCCACAGCCTCTCTCTGCTGTCAGGGGAAGCATCCTGAAACCCAGCCTTCCCTGTTCAGACTTCCTCTGATTTCCAGTGGCCTACTGGACGAAATCCATATCCAAAAGGCTCTTTGCTCTGGAAAGCACAGCTCACCCCACCAGGCTCATCTCCCTTCCTCCCTTTCCCTGCACATGGGTCATCTTTCAGACTCTGTACCACACACAACCTCCTGGGCCTTCCACAGTTCCAAGCCTCTGAATGAACCACTGCCTCTGCAGAATATCCTCCTCCAACACTCTCCTCCACTCCTTCTCCAATTTGTCCATCTCCGGCTCAGGATTCTGAACCCAGCTCAGGCTCACTTCTCTGGTGAAGGCTTTTCAGTGGTTGATTGTTCCCCTTCCCAGCTAAACAAACTTTCCTGTTCATACCGGTTTCACACCTAGACCCCTTACAACTTGTATCAGACACTTTCTCTCCCACTGTGAGCTCCTCTAGGGTCCAAATAGTTTCTTATGCCTCTTTCTATCTGGAGGACAATAAATATGCTCATAAAAACTGGCTGGATGATATGCAGGAGGAGAAAGGAAGAGGGGATGAGGAGGAGAAAGAAGGAAAGGGGGAAGGAAATGAAGGGACAAGGGAGACAGGAGATGGAAAAGGAGGCTTTTCCCCTTTAAGAAGCCTCTGGCAAGAAAGTGCCGGGATTAGCAGAGGCCTGGTGGTAAACCAGAACTGAAACCCCCCCAGGGAGGAGGATCTGGAGGAGGTCACCCGGCAGATGCAGCAATGAAAGCCCCCCATTTTGAGGCGCTGGCTGTGAGCCAAGGTCTCACTGTGGGTGGGGCTGGGACTGAATACAGCACGCAGACAAGCGGCTTCTTCTGGGAAAAACATAAAGAGAGCGGTGGGAGGAGAGTCTAGCTAAATACCGTGGTAACACTAAAGGCAAATTCCAAGTCAGCCCACTTAACTCTCAACCTTGCTCCAACTTTTAACAGAGCTATATTTGCAGAAGTTGTTAACAGGATGTGTGCTCTGTAGCTGAGTATGTTTTCCAACCCCCCACCCCCCCGCCCCAGGAAAGCCCACACACTGGGCCTGCCCCGCAGAGGAGGAGTTCAAAGTCCAGGCTCCCTGCTTGGAGAAATACATCCATTTCTTTAAGTTTCTATTCTAGTTTATATTGTTCCTAATTCCGCTTAGTGATGTATTTTTCTATTTTATTGTATATAATCTTTTAAACCATCTCAAATACTTTATGACCCAAACGAACAAACAAACAAACAAGAACCCCCAAAGTTAAAGTTAGCTGCATACATAGATGCTTGTTTAGAATCTAAAGGGCTTACTGGAACA